CATCCTGAGACGGGGTTTAAGATTCACACCACAGCGACTGGTGGTTGAGGCGGTGGAAGTCGCCAAGCATCCCAGTGTGAATAGAATAGAGGGGGTAGAACTTGCGAACGTGTGGAGAGCGGTCTTAGATCAGGCGAGATGACACGAGGCGGTGTGCAGTCATCAGCGAAATCGCCTGGGTATAAAAGTACAAAAAAATCCAAGTAGCGTTAGATCGAATTAACCACCCCACCCACATCCCCAAACTAATTGTCCCAGCACCCTTGGACGAACACAGGCGAACGAAATCTGTGAACGACCCCAAGAGGAGTTTTCCATTAAGGTGTCCTAGACTGAAGAAGCTTAGTCATCCTCACTAATCAACAAACAGGGACATCAGACTGAACACCCAGCACTGATCACGTCACTAGTCATAAGGAATCCCACGGATTGGTTCCCTGACTGCCTTAAAACCCAATCAACCTACTTACTCACTCACTTGGCCTGACGAAACTTTTGTGTCAAAAGCGAAACGTTGCCCAGCAATCAATCCACCGATTGTCTATCAAACCCCTCTGAAACGATGACTTCCCAATCGGTCCCAAACATTTTCCAATCGGTGTATACTTTGTTTTCTGAGGATGGCCTTTAGTTCACAAACACCTGCGGACGTACGACAACCTCTAGAGTGGGGCTGTGGTCCTTGTGGAGAGGTTGCATTGCATTAGTGAAGAACAGCATAGATGCCCTACCGAATTAACAACTTCCACGATGAAGCTAACAAGGTGATGTCGCTTGCTTAGTCCGTTGTTAGTTACATGTCCATATTGTTCTCAGTGCCTTGCCCCTCAAATCTCCGCATTGCTAACCTAACTTGCCCCAGGCTGATTAGCAAAGTACTGAGTCCTTTATCCATAGGTTTTCTTGGACCCGATGTTTGTTCCCTTCCTCAGAAGCGAATATTTTTCTTGCACCCTTTGGACACGAATATTTCCCAAATAAAATCACATGGGAATTTACCTCATTTACCTCAGTTTCTCCATTTTGGCCCCAACAGAAACTGTGTAAAACAAATCTAGTTTGTTTTACTGCTATGAGCTGAGCTAGGTTAACTTAGCACCTTGCATGGTGCCGTCTTTTGAATCCAGCTGACAAACATTTAGAGGTCTCAAACCCTACACTCCCGAGCACGATCCCTGGCGGTCTTCACGGATGCTCGATCACTAAAGGTGTGGGTTGCTATCGGCTCATCCGGTATGACTGACATTAAGTTAGTGCACTAGTCGTCCATCTGCTCATCACCATGGTAACTCTAATATCCACAAGGTGAATCAACTGATGGGACTTTCGTCCCAGATAACCTTGTTGGCTGGATTCAGATGAACACCGTGTCTAGCTGCGTTGTGACCTTAAATGGTAAAATGCAGTTCGATGGCATGACTAAAATGGCATAGTATACCGAACTGAGAGGATTGACTGGAGAGTATGATGGGCGTGCTTTGGTATGATGCAGGGCCGATAATTTAAGACTACAAGTTATCGAGTGGGGTTAAGTCGCAGAAGGCTTGAACAAAGTTACCATATTAGATAATCGACCAGATGGGGGGAGATGGTCAAAGTGGTTAAAGCGCGAGAAGATCGTGCTTCGAAACCCGACCTCTGTCTCTCGGCTTCTCCTGTCTAGGCTTGGGGCACCTGGCAGTATCTCAGCCCTCGTGCAACCTTCGGGTGGCATGGCAGTTAGGCACCGAAAGGGTGCTACAGCTGAACGATTATCATTATAATCCACCAGATATATTTTCAAATTTCGTATGCTACTCACTTCATGTGCATGGTCTCTACCAGCCGTTAAGCTAAATAAAGATATTCCTTGTGGACGGATTTGTTAAGGCTACATCGCACTTCTAATTCCATAAGTGATCAAGTCTGGCTGCCGTAAGATAAGAATTGAAACCAAACAGGCTGTTTTAAACAGTCTCGTTTCGGTAAATGAACGGTTTGCACTTTTCGAAAGCTGAAACAACTTGCATTGCCCCTACTCTCCCCTCAGAACGAACATCCCCTCCAAGTTTACAAAGGGTGCCAGCTTCTGGGAGCAGCGATTATATAATCGATTGAGCAGGACCTAAAAAGAAAACTTATACTGTGCAATTAGCGGAATATACCAATTTGGTTTTTACGGGAGACCCCACTGAATTCCAGTTGAATCTTCAGTTCTTCAGTTATATGTGCTACACCAAGCCGCCTCCTGTTTTAGTTGTTACGATACACCAGTAACGCAAGACATTGTATAGAGGTAACATACTACTCATAAGTTTGCTGGAAGTTCTTCGAAGAGTTTTCAGCAACCTCACGAACAGTGCGTTACGTCGATATAGTAAACTATGCAGTTTTAACAGATGCACTTTGTTCTATCGTGTAATCGGGATTTAGCCTTTTTGTTACTCTAACCGTTTTGTTTGATGTATTGCAGAAAGATGACCCATGTCTGTGTGATCGCCGCAACCTTGTTCATAACATGAGTCGCGATCGACGGCGGCGACTCATCGTGTTCTTCACCATTTGTGTGGTTCTCATTGGTGAACTAATCCTTCCTCTTCTGAATACCCTGGAACTGCCAATCAATCGGTTTGTTCTGAAACATCCATATGATTTTGGAACAAATTTAGGGCAGAGAATGGTGAAATTCGAGTGCTACTGGTTTCGGATCCACATGTGAAGGTGTATGAAACGCGCTGGGATATTATGGCTTTGGCCTCAGCTTATGACAGTGATTGGTTGGTTGTTCTCTCTTTGAATCCCTCATGTTCACCGCTCTTCGTCGCAGTTATCTACAGCGATATTTCAACAAAGTGGTAAAACTGTTCAGTCCAGATGCAGTCATCATCTCTGGGGATTTGTTGGATGGTGGAAGTACCGCTTCGTCTACCGCGTTTACTAATGCCGCTGAAAGAGTTAAAAATATATTTCTGTCCCACGATGACATTCCTGTAAGTTCCACAACTGATGTCTTCAACTGATCCCACATAGTATCTTCTTGTCCCCGGAGACAATGATGTTGGCGGGGCATGGGATGATCCATGGTCCGAAGAAAAGTCCGAATTATTCCATGAAACGTTTCAGCAATTTACCAGACCGAAGCATATTGGATTCGTTGGTCTGTATGGGGTATGGTCCTTTCCTGTTCTTTTTTGTTCCATTCACACAGCGTATGTCTTGGGCGCAAACAGACCTGTGGAAAACCGTGTCATCCAAGGACAACCTCACCATATATGTTGCGCACAACCCCGTGATCACACCATATGGAGCTACTTTGTCCAAAGTAAACCCAGTACTTTTCTGTTATTATCGTTCTATTCCAGGAATTGGTGAAGCTGAAACCGGCGCTTTTGATCAGTGGTCATGATCACGTGGTAACTCAATAATCTTTTTTAATGTTTTATGATGCTACTAGCGAAATATACTCATTTGCAAACCAATTTGGTTTTGCGGGAGACTCACCTGGAACCCGGTTGAATCTCTCGTTTATGTTTTTAACCTTATGGATAGTGTATTACATATATCGCGGTATCTCTAGCATCGTACCAACTGAAACATGAGGCGGCCGGGTGCAGCACATTCAGTTAATTAAAAACGTCATGAATGAGAAACTCAGCTGGGTTCCAGTTGAGTCTCCCACAAAACCAAATTGGTTTGCAAATGAGTGAAATCAGCTCATTTCGTGCAATTTGGGTTGAAGTCGAACATAAGTTCGACGGAAACTCGGGGACTACGCCTACCTGATGAGCCCCAAGAAGGGCGAAACCGGTCGTGGGCTGTCGATGGATTTTCAGCAACCTTATGAGTAGCGTATCTCAGCTACTGATTCCCCCATTAATCAAAGGAGATGCTTTATTCCAAGTTTTCCTTGCACTGCAGCTGGACAACCAGCACTTCCAATAAGTAGATGGGTTTTCTCGGTGCTGATTAGGCTAAGTCTTTGACTTCAGACAGGATCTTTTAGTTTTTGTAACTTTGTGTTCGCACGACCAGCAATGTATCTTCATAGGTTCTGTGTGAACATTGGTGGGAAGGTGAGATCTCCAGCCTTGTTCTCACGAACGATGTGTGAAACTTTGGAAGCTACTCAGATTGCTTCATCATCCTCGGTATTTTTATCACTCGTAAAGTCGCGTTCTGAGACAGAAATGCTGTCACACTAAGTAGATAGGCAAATAAAGTCGTTTCTCCTTCAGTCGGTGAGGGGCTTTATATACACTGAGTCAGTTATGTGAAAGTTGGAGTGAAAGTGCGTGAAACCGCACACTTGCCGAATGCCACAAAAAGAGGACCTACTTGCAGTACGACAGGTGTTCAGGTAACACGACACGAAGAGGAAAACTTTGGTCAGATTGGACAGGGATGCGAGTTTACGAAATATGCTATAGAGTGCCGATGCAAGCGTATAATGAAGAAGGAATTTGTCAACTCTGTGAATCTGGCTACGTAGTACGATAACCTGTGGTAACAGTCTGTAGTAATTCATCAGAAGTATGGAAATTTCGACTCGAATTGATCTAGCAACTTATGGCTTAGTCAGAACTGAGTTAAGTGGTTTGAGTTAGGCTGTCTGACTGCTCAGCCAACTGCAAAAACGCCTGTCCCTCTGCTGATGGGCTTTCAAACTCTTTTGTTTCCTTACATTTATAAATATAATCTCCCACACTTCTGACTCTGAGAACCTTGTGTCGACTTGTTCCGGAGCACTTCGTGTTTTCTGCAGGCTTTTGGTGTTGCTTGTCGGACATGAGACTAGTAGGTACAACCAAATAAGCCAGGTAACCAAGTGACTGTTATTGATTTGTGGAAGAGGCCTGAATGGTGAGCAGACAGTCAATTGTGCATAAAGAACAAAGTTGTTTGGACTCGTGACGCGCATGTTTAGAGGGCATTGTAGCTTCTCCACTCACTAGAGCAACCCAACACCACTTTGGGATTAGTATGACGGTCTTGGCCAAACCGAAATTACAAAATAAACTGTTTCAGGTGAACCTAGACCATCCAGACCACTCAGTATTTCTACGAGCAATCACTATTGATGTACTAGTGACGGTCACGTGACTGTTTTTCTGCCTACCGCTTATTAACCCCGAAAATCGGCAAACCGAATGGGATTCCGGAATGAACGGTTTTACGGCTCCTCGTGCCTTATACCGTCTCAGTCGAAGGCAAGTTTTAAGAGCAGTGTAGCTCTGTGAAACCCATACAGAAATTTCTCAAGTAGTTCTTTGATGGTTTGCCCTGAGGAAAGAGGCTGACTCGGGCAACCCAAGTGTTTCGGTGTTTGCGAAACCAAATCACACGGTACGTTAGGCACCTATCGCAGCAAGTTGAGATCAGGATTTATCTAAACCCATTGCAAGTACTCAGTCGACGAGGCTAAACCGCCTAACAACGCTCTGTTTTTTGCTCTTGTATTATCAACTCCATTGAATTGGCGGAGCCTCATTGTTGTCTATGACAGAAGTTTGACATAAACATAGGCATATCAGTGACCAACTTTCCTAATCTAATTTCTCCGGTTTAAGCTACCTTTTGATACTCTCTAAAATTCATATCCAAAAAGGTGCTCTGCAACATACCATGTGGTGTTTCCCGCTATCCTTTTATACTTCCAGGCCTATGCTCTCCACTGGGAAAAACGTACAAATACATCAGAGAGAATCTTTTGGCTGGTGCCTCCCGATGCATCAGGCCAACCCACCAAGCCATTTCAGTTTGACCTGAACATGAGTTTTCTAACGTCATCGGCCCAGGGCAACGTCGTTCAGCTTGGTGTACCCTCGTGCACATATCGTTCAGGTCAGGCACATCTGGCTGCTTATGGTGCTTTACAAATTTGGCGCAATCGGACGATTCGATATCACGTGGTCTCCCTACCGAATCGCCAGAACATTTTGATTTTCTATCTGGTAGCGTTTTGTTGCATCGTTTTCATTGGCCTATTTTCACTCTCATTGAGAATGTTTTGTGCTCAGATATTTTTGTACGTAACTTTGTTTCTATGCGCTTACTTTATTGTCACGCTACTGGCTTAGCAACTGCCCCACCGTATTGCAACATACAATGAGGTGCCCGTCATATAATACGAATCCTTTTTTCTGTGTACAATCTCACGTTACCACCTTTAAAGTTGCATTACAAATCTGTACCACTAAGATTTGAGAGTGCCTTCTGTAAGCGTCGAGCTGGATTTTCGTCGTTACCTTTAGATTTTACCTGTAGAAAGTCTTGAGCTATCAGAACGCATAGATGCATAAAATGTGGTCCTCCTGAGAGTTAATCGCTTCTTGAGTTAGAGGTCACTGGACATTTTTATCGGGCCAACTATAGGGTTTTTCAACCAAATATTGACGTGTGCCTGAGTGGTTGCTTAGAGGGTAGCTTTATCAACAACAAGTGCCATCTTTGTGAAAATCAATAGGATTGATTCTAGCTGTCTTCAACTATGGGCTCGCCCGAAATCGGGGTAGCTCAGTGGTTAAGGCGTGAACTTACCAACCGGAAGCTTCGTGGTTTGAATCCAATCCCGACAGCCCTTGTCTAGGTTCGTGGGACCGGACAATATCTCAGCTTCCCTGCTTATTTCGAATGGCATGATAGCTAGATACCGGAAGAGTGTTACAGATGAACGATTGTTTATTTATCTATTTACTTATTATTGTTATTATTTATACTACTATTATGGGTCCGCTCGGCATGCACCGGTGTGTTTGGTGGTCGGAGTCCATATTTCGGCTAGGGTTGGCGAAACAAACCCAACGGAACGCTAATAGAGTGTTTCTTCTTCAACGTCGACTAACGAGCGTGATCGGCTTAAGAAATGAGAAGTGGTCAAAGAGAGTGAGGTGGAACCCGTCTAAAAGTAAGTTTTTCGGTTATTTTAGAAGGCTTATTTTTGAACTGTTGGCTGAATCTTTCAACGGTCCGCCCGAGGCGTTCACATCACACGAGCTATTAGGTTTCGGATTCTCCATTTTATTTATGTTCGTCGGTTAGCCGCCCTGGGTCTTTCTGTAGTCCGTACAATGCATTTCCGCAATCGTGACATTGTAGATCCTGGCTCACCTCCGTCGTTGCCCGTTCATTAGTCACAGTGTCACCGTTGACGTTCTACATCGTCTTCTGCTTGGTGGGTCCCATCAATCGACTGAAATTAGGCCTCAACCACATTGCACTATTTGACTGTTCGCTCATGACCCCCGCCCTTTGTTGCATTCTGACGAATACTCAATTTTATTCACACTATTCAGTGGCCCATTAGCCGCACAATGCTCTCAGCTGCGAAACCTTTACGAGTGAAGTAAAACGTTGTGCTCCGAAATGTTGCATTTTGTTGCTTGTGTGCTCAAACCAAAAACCATCCTAATATACGTCCATATTTTCGCAGCTAACCAAATTTCATTCTTCACCCAAGCAATCATACCTCTGGCGGAAAAGTCTGGTGGGATAATTTCCCAGCATCGCTGAGACCCCGGGATGTCTAAATGGGGCTCAAAAGTTTGGACTGGTACTCTGAGCTCAATTGTCCGATTGCTTTAGTCCGTCAGCGGCACGCCATAGCTTTCCGAAATTCAGTCCCATTGTGCGAAGACCGAGCACCCACTACCCACAAATTAATAAAACGGTGCGCTCAAAGACACCAACTAACAAGCGTAATTTTTATCGCTACAATGTAAAAGCAGAATGGATATCCGACTAGCATGAGAGAGGTGAAATGTAGGGGTACAATAATCTTTTCGCCTTTCGTCAGCACAAGGCACCGGAAGCGTGGGATTTTTGTCGCTGGGTTTCAAGTTTTCAGTCACTTAAAACAGAGTGGTGAGATTCACCACTGTCTCATGGACGTTCCATCAAACTCCGCGTTGATGTGCCATGGCCTGATTTTTCAGCAAGTTCTAAAGGATGTGGAAAGTTGCAAGCTCTGAAACGTAGGCCCAAACGTAGTGAATGTGCATTTGACCCTGGAGAAAACGTGGCCCCAATAGTCGGTAGTATACTGGGGACAAGTTCAAGGAGTATTATTCATGGGGTCAAACTTATTAGTCCTTTCGTGCGCGGCATGTCTTCCAAAGAGGATACGTAGGCCCAAACGTAGTGAATGTGCATTTGACCCTGGAGAAAACGTGGCCCCAATAGTCGGTAGTATACTGGGGACAAGTTCAAGGAGTATTATTCATGGGGTCAAACTTATTAGTCCTTTCGTGCGCGGCATGTCTTCCAAAGAGGATCCGATTTTTTCATAAAGGAAACTACTCACAAGGTTGCTAAAAACTCTTCGATCCGATTTTCGTCGCTCGGGAACATTTTTAAAGTGCACCGATAGTCGTTTGTTACGTTCTCCGGGCATTTTTCAATTGTGTTAGCTTTGTTTGAGTTGCCACAATCCCAAAATGAGTTGAGTGCAAAACTCCGAAGGTGCTGAATGGTACTGTTAGTTTTTTCAATAGTGTACTTTTGTCTAGGTTGGCTGATCCCTGACAGATCTCTTACATGTTGCGAGTGCATGCATGCGTAGCCACTAAATTTCCCGCTAGCCTACTTGTGGCGGCATAGTCGCTCAGCGAACATTTCTTTAAGAGGCTTTTTGTTGTCATCGACGTGATTTTTAAACTTATTCCATCCTTTACCCTGTAAATCAATGGTACTCGGTGGAACTTCGTCAAAGATTGCTTAGTCCGTAATGTGGAATATAAAAGCAGCACCAAAAGTGCGCTTAAAATCAACCATTGGAAACTCTGTTTGGCAGGAAGCCTTATTTAGGACCCTGAAATTCTCTGCGAGTTTTCTTCAGTGTTCCGATTTCGAGTGTGAATAATCCCCATGGTGTTTGTCTGGGGCGAAGGAGCAAGTTAATATTACCAAGACCAAAAGTTGTCACAGAATCACCTTCCGTCTTTCCACTTCCATCTGACTGTTGAAACTTATTGGTCCGACCTGGGGCATTAGGTTAGGCAACGAACGCCGTATAAAGAACCTGTCTGGACAGAGAAACCAAACACATCAATGGGGGAGAGAAAAGTAAAATAACTACGGACCTAATACTCTACTCATAAAGTTACTGAAATCCCCTCGACTGCCCACGACCGGTTTCGCTCTTCTTGGTTGCAGAATTCTTATTATTAGTGTACTTCGTCTATACATCAATGGCGACCTCTCGAATATCATGCCAACTCAAGCATGAGCTGGTACAGCATATTCACTTGTTCAAAAACATCATAAACAAGAGATTCAGCTGGGTTCAAGACGAGTCTCCCGTCAAAACCAGATTGGTATTTCGCAAACAACTACATTTTTCATTGGTGCTAAATTGATAATTGATAAATGATTCGGGCTGAAGCCGATTTACCAAGTCAGTCAGTAATGATTTGCGAACGCTCCAAGCCTTTGAGAGCAAATTTATCCTCAGATAACCGAGAAAATTTGGCATTGCTCGTCACCTTTCGGGTTTAATCAAATAATTCCCCCGTCAAATCGCTGGTTTCGTTGGTTGTTGGGGCATTCCAAGAAATCAAGCAGACTGTCTGTACGAATTTATTTTACATCCGGAAAAGAGACAGTTATATCGTTTACCAAGACGATCTACAATAAACAAGCGTATGTTGTCAGTGAATAGCTTTTCGAGTCGTCAACTTGCTCCAAGTACCCCCTCAGTGCATTGAAATCGTATTGTGACGAACACCGATGACACTGAAGGATTTACGAGTTGGACAAGGACTCTATAATCTGCATTTGCTGAAAAGTGCCATGCTTATATATCCTGCTGAATGGTAGTCTGTGAGCGGAGTAGAAGAATGTCAGGCACCAGATGAGGAAGACACCTATCGGAAATCAAACTGAGCAAGTGATATCCGGACAGCTAAACAGCCCAGAACACGCGTGTCTTGGATACCAAGCTGAGAAACCACTGACCCACCCTACTCACACTGTCTAAAAGAGGTAGACGAAACCGAACCGCATGAAACTCCTATCAATATCAAAAGAGTGTAGTTCTGGTAGATGGCTTTTCAGTAAAAAAAATACATGAAAGAACGAACCGTTAAATGAGGATAGCCCCTTGGAAAAGACGTAAATTCAGGGTGCTAATGAAAGGAACATCCAGCATTTAGACGGCCCGTTAACGTCTGGAGTGAAGGGTAAATGCTCGAAAGAGGTGGAGAGGATATCCACAATTTGGCTACCCAAGTGGAACAATCGGAGACAGTAAAGTTCGGTCACGCAACGAGTATTGGCCTCCAAAGCGAAGGGACACAGGTCCTAGCAACAGTGGAGGCGAAGGCACAGAAGGACTACGTCTGGTCGTTGCATGAAGGATCAGGTTGTTTGCCAGCGAAGGGTTATAGGTAGAGCAGGCGGCTTCCTTCATCCAGTTTCATGGGTCAACCTGGGTTGGATCGGAGCAACACGTGATTAGTCTCCTAGCGTTAGGTGAACGTGTTCTGCGGAAAGTGGGAAAAATTGGACAAGGTATAGGAAATGAGTGTTGCAAATGAGTGTATATTCGCTAAGATACAGGAAAGTTCCGAAAGGAAAAAAACCAATGACTGATAGTCCTCAAGTCAACGACTTCATGTAATCGGGCCCGAGCTGGAAAGATTAGCAGAAAAAATCACGGTTAAATCTCATGAGCATACGAGGTTGATGATGCGCTGGAATTCATTCAGTCCAATCCATAACTTTGGCAATATCGCTGTATAAGCTGACATTAGAAGGGGTAAATTCCCAAGCTAAGTGACCACTGGCTAGTTGCTGTGAAGCGGGAGAACACGACAAATTCAGAATAGCATCATGTGAGAAACGTGGTTTGGGGATTAACTGACAAAAAACAAGTCTCTGAGGTACAGTTGGAAGTGCTTGAACGTCTGCAAGGAGGCAAGTTGCAGAGTCAGAGTTTGATTGACTGAGCTCATATCTGATGTTATCTACTCATAAACTCAAAAGTTACAATTTTATTATCATGCCTTTCAGATAGATTGCGTTTGTAGGCGCCTCAAGAAATGACTTCTTCGCGGGTATACCTCTATAAAAACTGAAGTACTATTGTACTTGTGCGGTTTAGCTTCGTCACCATTGGTCGATAAAATAGAGGGTGATCGATGTTTACCAAGTACTCTGCACTAAACACGTTCCTTTGCTAGTCTGGATACCACGATCCCTTATTAGGACTCAATTAGCCAGGCATTTTAAACGAGTATGGGCGAAACCAGGTAGAGTCAAATGAACTCAGTTCTTGCTGTGCTAAAATCCGCAGCTGACTCTGGTTGAAAAGAGCGTT